TCGACTACACACAGGTGATGTCCATTTACCTAGTTTAGGGACTTCTACAATTAAATGGCTCTAGCAATATTTAGTAGTGTTAATACAAGGTTGGATGCGTATTTGTATTTTTTCCCACCTTTTTTCAATTTAACTTTAGCATACAGTGGTTACATTGAATACACTCTAATTCAGCTTTGTAGATGAATAAAACATTAACGCTTACAATAGAATTAATACTTTTAATATGCAGTCAAAAGACTAAAATCCAACAAAATCAAAATGAAGAGTTCATTTGCAAAAACAGATAACTCCATCTTCAAAAACCTTCAGAAAACCCACTTCTCCATCATCTACCTGACACAAAATCAATCAAACTTAAGTTATGTCTATTTTTGTCATTTCTACTGAGTCAAATCCACTCAACTTCAGTTTGATTGATATTATCTCAAGCAAACGACAACAGAAAGTTTTCTGAAAATCTACAGAAATGGAGTTATCTGTTTTTGCAAATGAACTCCTCAAATGTACATATAAATTTAACATAATATATATAAAAATTGTGACAATGCTTCGACTTCTTTGTTGATCTCACTTGTGTACTTGCTGCCTCCATTGGGAGAGATTTGCCGCTAGTTTAGTATTTGGCTGTTTTGGCATTTCATTACTTTCATTCTCTGAGTCCATGAAACAACAGTTTTCATAACAGCCGTGATGCTGCAAAGTTCAGCTTTCAGAAGGAAGCAAAGACCAACTTAAATTAATTCTCATTTAATTTGATGACGTTTATCTTGCTTTGCTGACAAAAGGAAGAATTGACGGCAACCCATCATCATTTGAAAACGCACCTCATCGAGGCTGGTGGAAAGTTTGTAATGTTTCAGTTGAAACTCTCCTGAAGCAAGACTTTGTGCACTAGCAAACCTTTTCAGTTTTTAATTTTTCAATACATTTTAATCATACTTTTCCAATTTATTTTATTTGTAAGTGTTTGTGTCTCATGAAGACAACAGAAATAGTTGAATTCTACGTTATTTCATACCAAAGCTAAAAGGCTACTAAAATGTCAACACAAGATCTTCATGAACAGAAATGGTTTGCAACAACTCCCCAGAAAGATCAAGCAAAGCTGAGATTATTGCAAAGATGATTCACCTGAAAAACATGTCACAATATGTCTAATTATATATTTTCCTAATTAGACATGCAGTTATGAGAAAGACTCATCACATCCTATGGAAATTATTGACTTTTTTGACATATTTGGAAAAACAAACTTAAACTTCTTTTCCTCAGAAGCTGTAGCCTCTTTAGCAGGCATAACAAAAGCCCCCTGATGACATGACTGACAAACCGTTTTGATCTGATGTTCTTTTTTGACAGAAAAGGCTTTTTTTTTCTTGGCATAGCTCCCATATAGGTCAAATCTCTTTCGAACTTTCAAGGCAACACTTGAAACCGAGAGTTGCTTGTAGATCTAGAGAGGATATGTTGGTTTTCTTTGGAGATGTCGTTTTGCATCACAAAGTCTTCTCTTAGGCTGAATTTGCTGGGGCAGCCAGTCCTGGACTAATCTGCAGTTGTTTGACATATCTGCATCTTGCAGGTGATTTTCAGTACAGTGACAGTAGTGCCTTAAAACCATTTGGAGATCTTTTTAAATATCTTGTCAGACTAATAGGCAAACATCCATCCATCCATCATCTATACACCGCTTAATCCTCACTAGGGTCATGGGGGGCTGGAGCCTATTCCAGCCGACTTAGGGCGAAGGCAGGAGACACCCTGGACACGTCTCCAGTCCATCACAGGGCCACACTTAGAGACAGACAACCAAGCACACTCACAGTCACACCTACGGACAATTTAGAATAATAGGCAAACACCTTCTTCTAAAAGGCCTTAGTGAGCTCTTTGAATATTGGCATGATGATATCAAACATTTAAATACCAAGAAAATCAGACTTTAGATGTCAGAGGTTTAATTTAGTGGCATCGTATGAGAAACCTTTGATTTTAGGTTCAAATGGCATGGATTTGAAGATGTGATAAATGAAGGAGTGTTCTGACTTTTTCCATGTGGCTCAGCTGTTCTTTCTTTCTTTTTCTTTCTTTCTTTCTTTCTTTCTTTCTTTCTTTCTTTCTTTCTTTCTTTCTTTCTTTCTTTCTTTCTGTAAATCATACAAAAAAAAAAAATACAAAATGCCAGTTTTATGTGCCACTGGCTTCAGTGCACCATATTTATCTGCAGGCAGAGACACTAAACTATGTCTAAAAAGCATTCATTTCTATGGGATGTAATAAGAAGTCCCACAGAAACGGCACAAACTGGCGCGTTGTGCTCCCATTGTGCACAAGATCTCTCTGCACATCATCTGCATGTTGGATATAATGAAGGATTCACACATTATACAATATGAACACATCCTTTTTTAAATTTTCAGTAACAGTTTAGAAGTGCTGGTCCATGTGTGGTGATCAAATGTGCGTAAAATAGCTACTGGATGCGTCGATCTCCGCGTTTGGAGACCCTCGGCTCACATCAAGCTGCGGCAAAAGTCAGTGTTTCTCCCCCATCCCAGCGCTCAGTAATTCCCATGAAGTGTCGGTACGTTTCCAGACAAAGCTCCCTGTTATCCGGCCTGCACAGATGGGTTGCCGACGCCGAATTTGCTTGAAAAGACAAAAGAGGACTCTAACCGTAAGCGTAAAACTGAGAAGTGCCCCCCTCAGACCCCCCCATCCCATCCCAGCGGGGCGGTGAGGGGCGCGTGCAGCAAGTGTGCCTCTCAATTTCAGGCCAGCGCTTGGCTTCGTGGATGTACCGAAAGATCATGTCCATATGATGCTGACATCCCACATTTTGACTCTTTTGCATGTATTTATGAACATATTTATTCACATTTCAGATTGTAAAAACACTAAAGATACACACGTATTTGAATCACTCGCCCCCAATTCCATATTAATGTCCTATTGCACCATTAAAAGGGAAACTGCACGAGTAGTGTGAGGTTGATAATCATTTGCAGAAGACATAAATAATAATACAAAAGCTTGCGGGACATCTCATTATTACACTTGTGTTTGTACATTTGTTAAATTGGATTTGTCCTCCTGTTTTCTGAAGTTTATCCACGTCACAACCCCTCCAAGTTGTGCGTTTTCCTTCGTGAACGACATATGAACACGTTCTTTGTTCACAAAGTCGTGCAACACAGACAAACATCTTTCACCTCAATCACCAGACTGAGCATAGCGTTTCGTCATCACCATGCAGTACTAATAAACAAGCATTTCATGATAGCTTGGACGCCAAAATATCCAAGAGTCAAGCTGAAGGAGACAATTGCAGGATGGAGTAAAAAAAAAAACAAAACAAAACAGGGGGGTCGGAATGGTTCGTTTCGGTTGGACACTAACAACATGGGCCCATTAGAAGCATGCAGATGGGATACCCACGCCAAAACTGCGTGGAGATCATGTGTCGTGCGTGTGAAGTTTATTTGAAAAAAAAAGAGCACGAGCATATGCAAGAGTCTGTGCATGTGTGTGAGGGAGCGCGCATGGATGAGAGCTGGATGGATCCACGGTGCGACCGGGATACTCAGGAGGAGAGGGTGTGTTGGGGGGTGGAGTCGTACACGGAGGGTGAGGGTGGGGTGGGGAGGGGAGCTCTGTAACAGACAGCCATCTGGTCCCCGTGGCGCGTGCTGCGCGCGTGGTTCCCCTGAGTGCAGTGGCATTTGATGGGTTGTCATGTTCCTGCAGTTTTTATTCAAAATCCGAAAAGCTTCTCGCTGTGGTTCCCTCAGGTTTGTTTCACAAACTTTTACAGTGCGTAATGCTTGTGGTTAGTAAAGAGGCCACATCACGCCCAACTTCAGGTGAACAATTTTTCAAAACGCTTAATACCTTTAAACTGAGGTTCATTTTGATATTTGGCGGTGGCTTTTGTGATTTGCAGAACATCGACCAGCACCACCCCCCACTGTTTTTCAGCCCCCACCTCCCTGGGTGAGGCGTTGGCAGCAGTGGGATACACCCTACAGGTACGGACTCCCCCCGGGCAGAAACAGCATAAAAACGTCATATGCAAAACTATTGTTGTCAAAATCTAAGAGCAGATGTTATTTGGAAAGTAGCGTGGCTTGGGTATGTGATTGGAGTCTGTATCTATGAGGACACCCTTCCAAACACGCAAGCCTGACCCCTATGCCAGTAAGGCATGTATTGCATCCTGTTGTTGTAAGTCTGTATATTTATTAGAAAATACGCAGCATTATATAAATGATATATATAAATAAGACAGGGGCAAATGACAGAATCAATTAAAATAGAACCGAATGGAACAGCATCAGCAACTTTAGCATCCAAACAAATCTTACCAATGGCCAATTTCCACTGACAATTAGTTGTTCTGAAGAAAACATTCTGTGCGGAACCCAGCTTGTCATATTTTATTGTTAACTTAAGAAATAAACGAATACCATCTCGCCTACGTTTTGTTTTGTCCCCTCTAAGCATTGCGTAATTACGCACCAAGCAGCCTATGTAATATTTTATAAACAAAACCACAATCGACTCCATTAACAATATGAAACAAAGGGTATAAAAAGGGAATATTTAATATAATATAAACTTTTGAGTTTGCAGAATTGTTATTTGGTGAATGAGCATTCGGTGCGTCCACACTTTGAGCTACTTTACGCACACAGTTTTTCAGCTTTTTTTGATGCATATTTTGTTTAAATTGGTCTATGGATCATAACGCAGACACGCCCTGCAGTTAGGCTTGGATTAAAGTAGAAGACAGATGGTTATCTTGCCAAATGTGATGCTTTTGTGTTGTTTTGATCGAATCCGGGGACAGTCCAAATCGTTTTGTTTCGGCTTGGGGGCGTACCCGTGACGCACGGAAACCGACGCCAAGAATCTGGATAAATACCGCAGCTCCCGGCCGTTAGAGACACATCCTCACCGATATCGGCTTTGAACATTTCTGTGGCACAAAGACGACGCTGAAAATGTCTCCAAACATGACCTGTGAAGCTCTCCAGTCTTTTTCTCCACGACTAACTGTTGCCAAAAGGAAGGAGGCTCTTGAGCTCAGAAAGGTAAGCGAAGTGACTGAATTCTGCTTTATTTTCTAAAACATTTTCACTTATATCTTACATATAATGCAACGACTGAATACTAAATGCTTCGTGTTCTTTTTTTCCAGACTATGAAACCGCTGATGGAGAAAAGAAGGCGCGCTCGTATCAACGACAGCCTGAACCACTTGAAAAACCTCATCCTTCCCCTCACAGGCAGAGATGTAAGTCATTTCAATATGCATTTTCAATATAGCCACGTTGCAGATGTAACCTAATAGCCAAGACAGCGTTTGGACTCATTGGATTAACATTTGCTTTTTTTGATTTTCTCCAGAAAACTCGCTATTCCAAGCTTGAGAAAGCAGACATCCTGGAAATGACTGTGAGGTTCCTCAGCGACATTCCACCTGTTAACACCAAAAGTGAGTTCTCGTTCTGCTTTCTTTATCATATTTTGCTAATAAATGGATAAACAATGTACAATTCTTAGTATTTTTGAACAACAAAACTAACGTTCCATCACTTTTTCAGATTCCGCAGACAGTTACAAAGACGGCTACAAAGCCTGCCTCCAGCGCGTCTCCGCTCTGCTCCCCAAAACGAGCCTGGACAAAGACGCGTGCCAGCGGGTCAACGACTTCGTCCAGCAGTCTGTTTCTGCGACCGTCACCCCAGCCTGCCTGAACTGCTGCGCTCAGAGCTCCAGGACCTTCCCTCAGATCCATCAGAGACTCCTGAGCCTGAAATCCAGCTTCAGCTCCAGACCGGAGATCCAGTCCCGCTGCGGCGGAGGCGCAGTGGCCCCCAGCAGAGCGCAGTCAGGCCCGCAGCCCGTCAGCGCCGCGATGTGGAGACCCTGGTAGATTGTAGTGGCTGGTTCTCCCAAAAGCCGCGAAAAAAGACTGTAGTATGTTTGATATGTAGAAAACGTAGTGAGACAGCATCACTTGTAAATATACGCAGTGATTCTATGCTTTGTTTCCGTCGATGAAACGCCAGAATTCATTCTGATTTCGCATTGAGTATTATATACTTATCTTTTGCGCACGAGTCTTTTGTCCTGTTTAAGTTGACAAGTTTAGACGGTCGTATTTTTTTAAATCTGCATGTATGTATACGGTAAATATATTTAGTCCTATCCGTGGGCTAAGTGATTAAGGGCCATTAAAACAGCCCTGTAAGACCCAAGGGGTCATCGTTTGTATGAATTTGCACAATAGACATCAGTGTCCTGAGTCTGTGCAGATGAGCTTTGTAGACATCATATGTCTCCGTAAGTATCTCTGTTGGGATGTGTTTTATTTTTGCTATGTACAGCAAGTCTTGTATATATGTTTTATACACAAATAAAACTGCGATGTCGTGGTTAGATCTTGTGTTGTCCATTTGTTTACATTTTATGGTGATTTGTAAGAATATTGGTGCCAACCTTCTGCCATAAAAGCTTGTTTAATGGAGCCATATGGAAAAAGGACGCGTGGTCTACAGAATGCTCTTCACACACAAGAACATCTGTGAGGGGTGGGCAATCCTGGTCCTCGAGGGCCACAGTCCTGCATGTTTTAGAAATTTGCCTCTTCCAACACACCTGATTACTATTACTAAAAGGCAACTCTGTCCACACTGTAGAAACAGACCCATAAAAAATGGTTTCCAAAAAAAAGGAAGAAAAAATCAATAAAAACCCCATTGCTTAACTGTAATGTTCAAAAACTGTAGATAAAATAAAATAATAATCATAATATCAGGATTATTATTTTTTTTTAGCAGATTAAAAAAATACACCTACAAATAATACAATTTTACTCTTAAACTAGCCAAAATAACAAGGAACAAATAAAAATAAAATAAAATCTAAAAAAAAACCAACAACATGGGATTTGTAAAAATACAAGGGCTGATGGTCAAAACAACAACAACAAAATTATTCACAATTTTTCAATCTTTAGTAGACATAATTTTTCATTAAAATAACCACAGATATCTGTTAAAGCTATATATTTTTGCCTTGTCTAAATATAACTAAAATAGCTTAATTTTATAGTCAAGTCATACATTTTAAAAGATTACATTTTTATATTACCTAAAAATACAGATTGTCTATGAGGCTGTTATTTACAGTTTGGGCCTGTTTTTATATGACTAACATGTAAATAATAGTTCCCCCCTCTGTGGTTTGTTATCTGCAATGTAACAAAAGAAAACACTGTCAACTAACAGTAAATTGTTTAATAAAACTCTTACAAGACTTTTCTTTCCCTGTGTAACACTAGATGCATAAAAACTGAACCCACCAGTTTGGAACTAAAACTTTGTGCACAAATACAGTATTTCATTACAAGGAAACGCATCCCTGTTGAATCAACAAAGAACTGTGAAACGAGGCACATCTGAATACAATAAAAGCATTGTGACTGAAGCGTGTTGAGGTAAAAAAGCGCACAGCGGGCGTCATGGAACATGTTTGGGGCACCGCGGTCTCTGTTGCCCTCTACCGGCGGCTCCAGGTAGTGACCCGGCTGTAATTCCTATTTCATCATGTCTCTCGCTGAGCCTTCCTCTTTAAGCCACTGCATGTAGCCTCAGCTACACCGCTCCTGTTGGGATTCATGTATTTATTATAAGATCTGCCTCTATCGTGACACCTCTGCGTTAAACAATTTCGCAATTTCAGTGACGTCTCCGTGTGTTCTTCCACTCAATGAGTCATTTCTGAAAAGCCCGTGTGAGCAGAGCAGCCGGAGGATTTCCCCTCGCATCACACAGGATCCTGGCTGCAGCCCCCCCAGACAGCTTCTCACCATCACCGAGCCATGTGCGAGGCAGCATCTTCCCCTCAGTTGTGCAGGTAGGAAGCCTCGCACGACGCCGTAACACATGTGCGACCCGCATAATAACGTGGACGAACGACGGGAACGGCGCGGCGGCTGCCGGTGTCTGTGCGTGCGAGCTGCCGGCAGGATGGTGATAACCCAGATAATCCGCCGCGGCTGCTGCTGCTCTTATTAGACTCGGTGTGCGCACACGGAGCGTCTGCGGTGGTCGACGGTGTTTATTCTGAGCTTGCTGTATCACAAACACGACGGGATGTGCGCGCTCCGGCCAGAGGTTCAGACTGTGATGACCTCAGCGCCGGTAGGACGCGTTCACACGGCCAAGGACACGTTAGAGCCGCCACCATTTGAATTAAACTTCCGTAAAAGTTTAATATTAGGAACAATTTGAAGGGAGTAGTGAAGCTGGACTGGCTACATCACGTGTAGCCGCTCCCTTATTTATTTACCCAAAGACAATAAGGAGAGGAACGACACCGAAAACAAACAGCCATCTGTGCCTGGTAAAGCAGCAGTGACTGGTACCTATTAACAGACCGTTTCAATGAGGGGACTTCATTTCCCAGAAGCATGCGCGGTTTGTAGTGCTTGTTCTCGCCTGTAGGTGGAGCCACATGTCACTCTCTCTGTTGAGATGTTTCATAAAAACGCCTGAAAATTCAGGTGAAAATGAATTGAAGTTGTTTCTCAGTCTGCGACGTGTCAGAACTGAGCTTTATGTTTGTAAAGACAAACCCACGCTCTTCAAAATGATCCTTTTTAAATATTTCTTAACTGTATTTTTAAGCAGCAGTTTACTGTAACTTTACAGATGTCCCCTGTTTTGTTAAATTACAGTTAACAGCTAGTAAAATCACGGACAAAAAATATTAATTTACATGTTTGTCCAGAATTACAAACTTTTGACAAAGCAGATGGATTATAATAATTCCAGCTCAGTGATGTGAGCTTTTAGCTTTTCCCACCGTACTACACAACAAGTCCAGACGAGGTGTCTTCGCTAATTCAGAAGGCTTCACCGCACTTTTCACACTTTGTTGACTTTACGTTATTAATTTATGTGACTCATAGTAACATTTTTTCCTCCATGCTACGGGGGCGATAACCGTATTGACACAGAGATACAGGAAAACAGAATTTCCGGTTTAATTTTGGCAGCAATGATGTGGTTCGCAAACATTTGGAGATAAAAATGAACATTGGTTTGCTGAGTTTGAACAACCAAGTCTCACATCAAATC